TTAGAATAATCACATTATTATTATAAACTCTAATTTCGCCATAAAAATGTAGAGTATAAGAAAACTACTTATTTACAATCACCTCAAAACATTATGATTATGCCACTATGCCAATTAAATATATTTATGTACAATTGTTAATTATATGGTATAATTCTTAAACATTAAACATGTATTTAACGTATGGTGTATGCTGGATGATATGTTTTTAATTATACTATTATTCAGGAGAAAACTTTATTAGAATTAGGGTATTTGCTTATTATTCTCATCGTAAAATATTTTATTGAAAAGAAAATACAATGAAGCTGTGTAGCAATTACAATTGTATAAATGGGAAACTATGCACTATTTTTTAAATAGCTCACAACCATAAATTCATGAACAGAACTTTTGCATAAATTTGTCATTATTGTCTTAGCAATATGATTATTTTGCATCAACGATAGCAAGAATAAAATGTTTTACTGAACTGACATGTAAAAAACAAATTCACAGAGATATAAAGAGCATATTTCCTATATAGTTTTGCAATGTTGATAGTCTGAGATATAATATAGATATTATATATATATATATATATATATATTATATTATATATAAAAGTAATTCTTCCCGACAGAACCCTTAATACAATTTGACAGAGCTTACGCTTATATTTCAGTATAGCTATTTATAAATGATATGCTGCACAAACGATTAAATTTTTTCTATATATAAAGATTAAAATATAAATAAATAATATAAATGCAAATAATTTAACTCTAATTTTTTTTTTAAATTACATTTTTATACAAAATATTAAAACTAAATTTAGAATTTATTTTATTAAAATTATTCAAATATTACTTGTTACAAAACTAAAATTTGAATATAAGGAGTATAAGGATTTTCAAACAGTCTTTATTAAATCTTTGTCCATTTATTAAGTATATATATATATATATATATATATATATATATTATATATAACAAAAGATTATATTAAATCCAATATATTATAAACAAGTGGTAAAAATTGCATATAGTGTTATTGTTACTAAGACTTTGTTTAATTCATGATTCGTTATAAATCTTCAATTTTAATTTATTATCATTATTTATTTTGTATATATTGGTTTATTTATTAGCAAAAGCTGCCTATTAGCGTCGGACTTGTGATGATTTTTTAAAAAAAAAACTTATATTAAGCTTCAATATGTACATTTTACTAGTTCTATGGCAGTTATAGAAGTATAGAGTTGTATAAAAAGCAATAAATCAGTACTAGAATCATACACTGGGATTAGTTCGATATTATATGGTCGATGATATATGGTTTTCTACTAAGTATAAGGAATAATAAAAAAGAATATTTGGGCATTGAAATTGGCATTATTTAATTTCAGAACCAATACCATGAAATTATTTCTAAAGAAATCTTTTATGGTAATAAAAGACTTATTTTATGATAAAAATTTTGTATAAATTAATTGCTTTATTATGTTTTAATAATTTCGTTTGTAGAATTTTATTGAACAAATCATGCAAAAAAATCGCACCTTTTGCTTGGGACAAATTATTTCAAAGAATTACAAAATTAAATAAAGTCATCTTTACCAAATTTAATTAAAATCTATTTCTTATATAATTCTATTCACCGTTTTACAAGCCAAATTCATTATCACACTTGAAAGAAAAAAAAAACAAAATATTTTACCATTTATCTCAACTTTTTGTTCTATCAAGTTATTAAGTTAATCAGGTAAGTGAAGTATCATATAAAGAAATAATTTCGCAGTTATTGGGACAATGAAAAAAAAATTCAAAATAAATAAGTAAATTTGGGTCACCAGATTGCACTTGGAAAAAATAATAAAGAAATCTACTACAGTTCAAGTTCGGACGAATTTTCGTTTTATTATATTGGCCATGAAGGTGACAATCTTCATGGTATTGAGCTTTTACACGGGATGGTTGCTGCCCCTGGCAGAGGGGATAGTGGAGTTTTAATGGGACTGTGTAAAAGCTGAATACCACAAAGATTGTCACCTTCATGGCCAATATAATAAAACGTCCAAACATTGAAAAAAAGCGTAGAAAAGAATTTCTTGAATATTACAAATACTTAGTAGAAAACATATTATATGGAATATTTTATTCATGTCTTATAAATATTGACTATAAAGTTTCTCATCAAATGTTCTTTGTATCATCTCACCTCACTATTAGTTCCTGCACTTGTCTCTATCGCTAACTGCCGACTAATTCGATCTGCCGGTATTTTTTGCGTAGATTTGAAACAGGGTCCTTAAAAAGCACAGGATCCAGACGAAGACTAGAACGAAGTAATGGCATGTAACCAAACACCGCAGCGAACGTGTTCAAACAGCTCTGGCGTTGAATGAAATGATCGGGATCGTTCCATGGGGACCTTGAGTGAAAAATAGTAAGTTAAGTTTATTATACATATAGTTTAATGAACACGTGTTGTTAAATAATAAGAAAATTAAAATCCAAGTTCAAGTTCTCGATTCAAAGTTATTAGATCATGGTACCATAATATGTTGTTACATTACAGTGTGATATAGATATTCAATATAACAAATTAAATTTGTTAAAAGCTTTTCAGAGAAAATACAATATTAAAGTGACACGATAAACTAGAGAAGAATGTATATAACTTAAATGCCCAATACAATATTTCAGTAAACACTAAGGGACCGATTCTGCACGTCTCCTTATCAATATGAATCGAATGTTTTTTGAATTATTCAAATCGGTTGATCCGCGTTCCCGAAATCGTCGACGAAAATTTTTATCCGCACACACACACACATACATCCATTTTTTCTAAGGTATGAATGTTAGAAACCTTTGAAACGTAAAAATTTATAAACATTTTCATTTTCGATTTTTTTGCAGTTGCTATAACTTATACCTATGAGAAATTAAAAAAATCTAATTATTCTCTTATTATTACCTGTAATAAATAAAAATGGAAGATATTTTATATAATATTAATTATATCCTGATCTTCAAGACTATCCGAGAAAATATGTAACACATTATTTTAGTTTACTTCAGTTTTTATTAGTTGAAGATAACATAAGAACTTATGTCGAAATGTATGGAAATAATAAAAATTGTATAAAATATCTTCCTTTTTTAGTTTATGTACATAAATATAAATACTTTGGTTCACATATTACTCTGTCTGTCCATGAGTAATATAAAAAATCAAGCCCGAAAAATTATCCTTGAATGACTGTTTTAAGTAGTAATTTATAGTTTATTAAATCTTTAATATTTTAGTTTTTATTTAGTGTTATATACTTGTAATTTATATTAAGTGTTATGTATATATACAAAGCTATATATTAACTATTAATACTCTAATTTTGTCATATATTATCTTTAGTTTAAATTTGTTCACTTTAAAATATAATTATATTGTATTATTGCTATAGGCAATTAATAAATAAATAAATAAATGACATATATACATATATATATGTTTAATGTTCCAGCACATCTAGATTATTAATCAATAAGTCTTAAACTTTCACTTATTGAATAATATCATTATTATTATTATATTTCAAACTGTCAAATCAACTTTATTCTTTGAAAACGGTTGCTATAACATTACAAATAATGATTTAATTATTTGTTAATAGACTATCAATTACAAATTAGCAATTTCAAATATATACATTAATCATTAAATCTTTTAAAAGTTACCAACAAAATGCAGACAGTATTATATTTATATTTTCGTTAAAAAGTTTTCAATTATATATATATATACATATATATATATATATATATATATATATATAAATATATATATATAACAAATGTTCTATTTTATATTATGAAATTAAATTTATACCTTGCGCCTCCAGCTGGAGCCTCCTTGTACTGTTTACGCTGCGTCACTTTGATAGGTGGTCTTCTGGTGACATGAGCTACCAAAAAATTCATCAGTATGTCCTCACAATTATCGCTTTGCTCTACAGTTTTGTGAAGAAGAGGACTTAACCAACGCGTATATAATTCATTGTAATATCTATGATAAAAAGCAGCCCCAGTTAATACTATTGAATACTCGTTGGTCCATTTGGATGTATAACCCCATGTACTCTGTAGAATTAATTTTATATAATGACAATGTTTACATTTAATACAATTTTCAGGTATTTATAATAGTTAACATACCTTGGCATCATCCCAATAATGAGCACGGGCAGGATATCCAACTATCCTATCTGGAAAATTTCTCCAAACAGAAAATGCAAAATCTACTTCATCAGTTGTTAAAAGGGCATCTTCATCTAATGATAAAATTGCGTCAGTCGTTATTAAAGGATGTGGTAAGAAACGCCTCGATATACCTCCACTACCACCACTGAAAATATATAAAATTAATATATAATAAAATAATCTTAACAATCTGGATAACTAGAATGCATTATTATCTAATCAAGAATGGCTAATGGTCCGGTCATTTAAGCTTAAATTAGGTAAGAATCTAGGAATTTGAGATACCCAGCTGTAAGTCTGTAAATACCATATGTAGGTTTTAAGACAACTTTAGGGTGTTAATATACAAGTATTTACAGACTTACAGCTGGGTATCTCGAATTCCGAGGTGAACTGACTATAATGACTGGACTATAAAAGTTAATAATGTTTTACCTTGAAATTTGAATTACTTAAATTCTAACAAAATAACATATTTACCTGATATCATCTGAATAAATAAGGGTAACAGGAGCTTGTAAAATATTTAGTGGTACAGATGTTGGCGTTGGAGGCCATCGATTTCTAGCAGGTGGACTTTTTTCATTTGCCCAGACTATAATAATCTGAAAAATATTATAAACATAATTTTTGAGTAAAATAGCAACTTAATAAAATTTATAGATCCTAAATTAATGTTCATTATTGCTTATCTTTAAAATAAATCTAATTAAGATAAATATACAATAGTAATTTCTATTGCTACATAACAAAGGTAAAACACAAAATAAATATTTACCAATATAATTAACAGCTCTGATTAGAAATATACACACTGTGTCTCTCAAATTGTAAATACGCGTGAATCAAATAACAACTAATTTCACTTAATATATTGAATATTTTTGTGTTAGTTATATTGCCTTTTATTTGGCTTTTGAACTATTTAATGACAATAAAAACTCTATTCCAAATATTTGATATAAGTATATATATGAATAAATTTTTCTGAAGTGATACATCAAATAAAAAGACAAAGCTTTATAGAATAATCTTTGATGTTCAAAAGATTGACATAATATTTTATGTCAACATCAGTGGATATTAGACATTGAAGTCTCACGTTGATATATGTGCACTGTATAATCATAATTAATATACATTTTATTGCAAGTTACATGTACGTGAAAAATCTCTTATTTCTAAAGTAAGTAAGTAAAGTATTGCATTGCTTTTCAGCATAATTCTTAATATATTTAAAATATTTTTTTTTTTTGAGAAGTTAGCGTTATGAATTTTGATGCTAATTACATGTACGGTGCACATATATTGATGTGGCATCTCAATGTCTAGCCATAGGTAATATACAACATACCCTCTGCACACTTTTGCTTCGAGCAACATTTCGAATAAGCCGCTGAAGAACGGAAGCTGGTGCACCACCAGTAACAGCACCAAGCTGGCAATAAATTACTGCTGTGAATCCCGCGCTTGGTGAAGCTCCTAAAGCGTCCAGGTAGAATGGATATCGTGCCCACGAATCTGAGAATCTGGTTAAAGTCAAAAGTGCGCCAGGATTCGTATTCCATACTAGACCCGATCGAACAGGTTCTCCTGGTAAACGCTCACGGATTATCTATAATAAGTAATATAAGTTGTAATGATTAATTAAATTTATATAAATAAATATTGGTTAAACGTAATTATAAAACTATATAATAGGTTATATACCTTTTATAAATATTATATACCTTTATGGGAGAAGTGTAAGTTTTTCGGGTGTTTGATTTAATAGCCTTCAATACAGAATATAAGTGAAACTAATAAGAATCTGAAGATACCTAATACAAATATGTTCAGAGGATGAGAATATTTTGCCAAAAAGAAAACTATTGCGTTGAACAGCACATAGAAAATATTATTTAAAAAAAACATATACTTATCTTTATCAAAAATATATGATATAACATGTTTTTATTAAATTTTACAACCTAATTCCTATTTTGTATTAGTCCTTTGTTTCATATAACACGAATTCGTATTACACGGTACATTTTTGGAACTATCGTGTTGTACGGGGGTTACCAGCATTCCGATTGAAGCCAACAAAAGTATTATCATTAAGTCATTATTAAAATTATACTCAAATATTTAAACTACTTCATGGCCAACAAGTATCGTCACTTCTATAGTAATTACAGATACAGATAACCTCCGTATAACAAGGTAGATCCAAAAAACTAGCGTGTTATGCGAATCCGTGTTATACGGAACAAAGAATTAGTACAAAAAGAGGGGTTACGTTTCAAAAAACATGCTAAATATAATGATTTTTTTACTAAGGGGGCGTCCATTAATCACGTGAGGTTTTTAGGAGGAGAATCTACAAATAATCACGAAATATCACGTGGGGGAGGGAAGAGTATAGTAAGATATCGCGTATATTTATTTTTTAACTAATTTTTTTTAAAAAAGTTCAAACATTTTCAAATTCATTCAATTTCATTCAAAAATTTTACAGGTTTTTCACGTAACTAAAAATACACGTGATTTTTGGTGGGAAAGAGGGGGAAATTTTGAATATCACCATGTATCATCAATAGGGAGGGTGTCCAAAAATCTTTAAAGACTCGCTCACGTGATTAATGGACGCCCCCCCTAAATATTGTTATATTTATTAATTTTTTTAAAGATGTTATATAGAATACATGAATAATATTTCTATCTATTTGCAATTTCTTGCTTTTAGTTAAAAGATATTTATATATTTACTACATGCAAAGTTATCTTCATTAAAATTTTATACTCATTTTATTTAAAGGATCTTTGTTTAAGACTGATTGACTAATTGTTCGGATAAGCGTAGAATTTTTTTCGATAGAACGTATGGACTCGAATAATAAATATCAAATAAGTTATGTTTTCCATTAGTTTCATTACATTTATTGAACTATTGTAAGGCGATTTTACTAATGTTAGACTAAATGAAGTTTGATTTTTCATAGGTTTTACTATATTTTATATTTTATTAGGGTTTTGTTCAATTCTCAAATCGTGTTAGAGCAAGCCCGTGCTTTAAAAGAACCGTGTTATGAGGGGGATAGTCTTAATTCTTAAACCGTGTTAGAGCAAATCCGTGTTATAGAGCACCGTGTTATGCGGATGTTACCTGTATCTTAAGATTAAATTAAACATACAGGTAACCCCCGTACAACACGGTAACTACGTTCCAGAAAACTAGCGTGTTATGCGAATCCGTGTTATAAGGGACAAAGAACTAGTACAAAAAGAGGGGTTACGTTCCAAGAATTTAAAAAAGCATGCTACGTATCTTGATTTTATAATAAATAGTGTTACATTTATGAATTTTTTTTAAGAAGTAACATACATTAATTGAATTATATATTTTTTTTTTATTAAAAGGTAAGTGCTATCCAACGTGATCCTCTGAGCAGTTTTCTATACTACCTCCAGATCCGTGCTATATTTTTTGCAAAAAAAATATATTTGTAATCAGTTGCTTTTAGCGAAAGATATATATATATATATATATATATATATATATATATATATATATTAACACATGCAAAGTTAACTTTATTAAACTTTTATGATCATTTTATTTAAAGAATTACTTAAGAATTATTTAAATATTCTTTTCGGATAATCCTAGAATTTTTTTTTGATAGAACGTACGCCCTCTAAAATATATTAGTTATCTTTTGCACTAATTTCATCACATTTATTGAGCTATTGTACGGTGATTTTACTAATTTTAGATGAAGTAAAGTTTGCTTTTCATATGTATTACTATATTTCTTATTTTACAAAAACTTTCCTCAATTCTTAAACCGTGTTATGCATACCCGAAAGCACCGTGTTATGAAGGGGATAGTCTCAATTCTTAGGGATCGTTAAGTATTGCGTAAGCAGATTTATTACAATTATTTACCCCCCTCCCTTTGTCAGCAAAAGTAAGCAAAGTTCTTACCCAAAATAAGCAAATAAATAACCCCCCGCCCCCCTATAGTGCTTACGTAATACTTGAACGGCTCCTTAAGCTTAAATGCGGGGGTCACCTGTATCTTAAGACTAAATTAAACATATCTACAATAAGCATTATACACTTACTTCTAAAGTAGTGAAAACAATTTTTTCAATAGACGAAAAATATCGTTCCCACAGTACTTGTGTTTGTTGACGAAGAGCGAGTACTCGATCGGCGCTTACCGAGCGCACCAAGTCAGGAACCTGCAGTAAAAGCCGTTCATCCGCCCACAACACAGCCTGGGACCAGTCAATCACCTACAACAGATAAAAATCAAATAAAAAATCCGTTACGAATGAAATGACTTATGAGAAATGAAATGATCATGTCAACCTATAATATTTCGAACAACGGAATTTCAATGCCAAACGCTGCAACAATTATTTCAATAATATTGTAACGACAATCGGTATTGTCGTCAAAAGGGTTGCATAACCACCAGTGCAATGACGCTCCCCCACCACGCCCAATAGGGATGCCAATATAAGGTCCAGTCTGGGGTTGAAAAATAGCATTAAGAATTGTATCATCCTATGAAGAGGTCAGTGGGTCCAAGCGCCAGGCGCTGGACCCGCGTTGTGTATAGTGGTGTGTGTGTTGTGCCAGGAGAGGAGAACCCGTTCCAGCAAAGGTCAGATGTATTATTGTTTTAAAAGCTATTCCCTCCGTCCTCCGTTCCGTTATCGTTACTCCGTTGATACCGTTTTACGTTAGTAATTAATAAAGATTTATGAGTACGTTAGGTTTTAGGCAAAGGGCATGACAGTACGTAGGTATTGTCATGCCGTGACACCTGTAATAATTAGTAATAATTAAATAAGCTAAAAGTACATTCTGTTTCATTCGCGTAGTTAGTTGGCTTTTCCACAGGTAATTACAGGGTGGTTTAAAGAAGTCGGGTTAGGAGTTGGTGTAACCCTTTCGTTGGGGATGCAACGCTAGATGTAATAATGGAAGTCGTTGCATATCCCCTAAGAAAGGGGGGCATCAACCCATTTAATCCGTCACAATGGTGAAAACGCATTCGATCCCCCCATAAACCCCCCTCACAAATTTTTAATAATTGTAATAATTAATTATTTTTATTAAAAGCTAAGCGAGTCGCTCCCACTAGTTACGTGTATAAGTTACGTTAATTTTCATGATAGATGTTTTTTTGTTATAGTACGTTTTTCGGTAAATTTAGTAAATTTTAAAATTTGAATATTGCGTATATAACATGGTAATTATAATTGTTTTTTCTATGGGTATCACTACTTGCGGTTATCTGTGTACTTTCATTTTTTATCGTGTACATTTCGCGGAGACGTGGTAGTTAATTTTAATAGAATTTTACTATGTTGAAAATATAAGTGATTTTTTTTTAATATGTTTTGGATGTGGAATTTTAATAAATGGTAATAATCTAGTTTAATTTTATTAAACCAAATCTATCGTGTTGGTTAGGATTTGCGTCGATGTTAAATTTGTTACCTAATATTTGTTAAGTTTAGTTCTAAAAAGTATATAAATTATTGAATTTAAAGTTACGTAACTTACTTAAAAATTATTAAACTTATATTTATTTAACCTATTTAGTCTATAATATTACAAAAAATATTAAAAGTATTATTTTTATTTTAAAATCAGATTTAATTTAATTGTTGTGTGTGTGCATTCTATTTTTTTTTCTTTTTCTTTGAATATAATATTACAAAAAATGTAGTTAATTTTATTTTAAAATTTGGATTTATTTTAATTGTTGCGTTCGTTCCATTTTGTTCCCCCTGGGTATATATATAAAAAAAAACTCGGTCAAACATTCATATCAATTTCAATTTCTGTAAAGTAACTTATAAATCGTCAAACAGTTTTCGAGTCGTTTCAAGTATTTTGTTTTGATAGGCTAGTTCGAAAGATTTGAAACACATTGCCCCTCAAAATATATTTCGTTTTCTTCGTAAATCTCAAGTTCCGTACACTTGACCCTATGCCACACACAAATCGTATTTTTTTTTCTGTCTTCGAAAACAGTTAATAGGCAAATATTATGTTTCAGTAATCCCTAGTATTTTTTTCATTGATATGTTTATATACAGATCTTAAATATATTGTGTTTTTTTGACAATCCCAACGTCTCGGTTATGCCTCAGCACTTGACAATTTTTGACCCTATCGACGGGGTGCCGTAGTGGCGTACGCAACGCGACAGAACCGTTAAGTTTTTTTTTGCACAGTCTGCGGCGCCAGTCGCATACTTGAAATAATCCATATTCAAAAAAAACTTTCACTTTTCGTATATTCTTTTTTTTATACTAAATAATATAATTATAATTAAAAAGTACAGATAACCGCAAATAGTATTGAGTTGATTTTATTTATTTTTTTATTGATTGTCCTTTTGTTTGTGTTTCGTTAATCTCGTTCGCGAAGTTTGATGAGCCCTGTAATACATATTTTTTCGAGATGATTCGCGAATGAGACAGAATTACTTAGAACATGATAGGTATAGATAGATACTTTAGTATCTATTAGTATATTTAGTATCAGTAAGATTGATACTTTTTATTATTGTGCGAGTTTGTATTTTCTCAATAAGTTAGGAAGATTTTCATATTTTTAGTTAAGATTTTATTAGGTATAGGATTACTTAAAATATTACATAATTTATTAGGCTAGTAAAGATTGATTTTTTTTCTCTTGTTATTTGTACTTTCTTAATAAGTTAGTAACATTTTAGTTAGGATTTTGATAGGTTTAGGATAATTAGGATTAGTTTTGTTTTATATAATTTAAATATGGGTTTTATAATCCAACATTGGCATAAGTCTTGTTTTTTTTTATCATTGCAAGTGAAATTAGTTGAGTTTTGTATCGTCGAGAATTAACCAAAGAGTTAGCAAATATTTTTAAAATGGAGTATATTTGTTTGCTTAACTTTTCCTGTGTTTTTATTGTTGTTCACGGAGGGAATAGTAGCTAGCATGTCTATGATTTGAAAATGAAGTGAATTTTCGAGGAAACGCGCGGTAACAAGGGGCGCAAAGGCCGCGTATGTGGAAAAAAATTGCGTAGAGAACGCAAAGAGTTTAAAAAAAAAAATGTATTAGCAGGCAGAAAGTGCCGAACCAAGATGTTAATGTTATTTTCGAGTTTATTGTAATTTTTTTTTTAATCATTACATCATAGACATGCTAATTGTATCTGACCAGCTGGAGGGTTGTGTAATACATTTGTATTATGTAATTGGTTTGTAGTATTAGTATGTTTTTTATTCGTTTTTTTAATATTTTAATGTCGTGTATTTTCGTGTTTTTTCAGTAAGGTGATGCAATAATGAATTTAGTTTTATCGATTTTAATATTGTACTTTTCTATTTTTTTTCTTTCGTTTTTTTCTTACGCGTATTAATGGCGTTCTCATTCCCGCCGGAACGTCATTGCTTAGTGCTCAATTCGCGGCTTCATCTAATTGACCTTATTTATTAATTAATAATAGAATACGACTTTTCACCATAATTCATAATGGCAGCTAAGGCGATCAGTTCGACCGACGATTATGTGGCTTGGAAACCAAAGGCCTAGAAAACCTTGGTTAAATAGAGCGGGTGGGCAGGTGACATTTCCCTTCGAAAAGTCGTATTTCTACGAACACAGAGACAATTGCAAAGGTAGAACCCGGATTTGCAATATACGTATTTGTAGTTCGGCAATTAGATGAACGTTCATGTATTGTTCGGAATGATACGTGAACGGCTAAAGGTATTTTTTTCGCTCTCGTTTTTTTTCGCTTTTTAAGAACTATATTCTTTCGTTGATCATACTAATTTCTTTTTTTTATACTAAGTTTTATGTTGCATTTTACTATTTTTAATATTTTACTATTTCTTAATAAATTAATTTTATATCATACGCGTAACTTCGTTACTTTTACTGTTTTTATCCTACTTATCACTATTGCATTATCCGCTTTGTTCGCCATTTTTAATATACTAGAATTTTGTTTTTTTTTTATATTTATATATTTGTCGTTGTGTTTTTTTTTGCCGTGCGTTCGCGAAAGGTTTGGTTTGGTTTACGGATAGAGTTTACGGCCTATGTTACAAGGCGTTGAAGGTAATGAGAGTATTGAGGGCAATTGTTAGTTGAAATGTTGAATATGTTAAGGTGCCCAAATCGTTTATGTATTATTTTCGTCGTATGTTTTTTTTTGTTCACTTGATAATGTTATCGTAAATCAAACCAAACGAACGTTTGTAGTGTATCACCGCGTTTATACCGTCGGCGTTGTGTTTAATTTTCGTGACGCCCTTTTATATGGACAAATTACGATTTTATTTTTTATTGAAAATACTTTAATTCTGTCTCGTCAATAGTTATTGGCTCGTGTTTTTGACCGCCCAATCCAGATTAAGGGATCCGATATGGCAAATAAAAATAATGATGAATAATGAAGGATTAATCGAAAGAAGCAAGAATGGGTATTTTCAGATGGGGTGAAGTTGATATTTGGAATCAAGGTTAATTATACTTATATAAATAGATTTATAAATTTATGGATCGCGTCGTAGCCTTTACCATCTTTTTTTAATTATTTATTTTTAATATTTTTTTTTTCTTTATTTTTACTTTTTTATAAGAATAGCCCGTAGACAGCCCGGCTGCCGAGCGACGTAGCGCTAAGTCGTGGAGGGCCGAGGCATGCGATAGGGCACTCGCGGTAAAAAGTTGGACTCGAGTCGCGAACGAGTACTACAAAATATCGTGAGAGCTCCACAAAAATGCCAAATTTTATAGTAAGCCAGTGGGTGTTAGGGAACACCGAAGTTCGTAGATAAGGCCAATCAGACTAACCACAACATCCATGGCACGGGCCTTATAAAATAGTTGATAAATTTTCAGACCTTAATTATAAGATTGAGCGTAGAGTTAGAAACAGTTGCAAATACGACACGGTCCACGTTAAGGAATAAAAGAAGAAAGAAAGGAAAAAATATTTCTTTCACTTTTCTCTTCGTTTTTTTAATATAGATAAGACTTATATATAGATGTACATATGTAAATAATTAAACATAATTATAGTAATAGGTTTAGTTTTAAGATTCCCCCCATTAGATAAGTCGTAAAATTAAGAAGACATATAAGAAGTTATAGTGGGATTTTTGTTTGTGGAGAGTAGGTTGTTGCAACATAAATTGTATAAATATAAGTCTGCAGGCTTATATCGGGACGCCATATCGGATTTACGTTTTTGTTCTATGGTTATATATATGAGTTTGAAAGCTGGGCCCAGTAGTCCACGAGCGAGGACCATTGAGATGTCCGAATCGATGGACGCGTACGGTTTCAATCGGGGAAACCGCCCTTAATCAACCCCGCAGCCGTCGAAATATTATGTGAATTATTATGTATTATGGATTATTTTTGGGAAGGTACCTTCAGCGAAGACCGGGATGGCGACATAGGTCGCAGCACGCCATCTCCCGTCAAGGGGGCAATTTGGGGTACTTTTGTGCCGGGCTGAGGAACCCCAGGTGTGTCACGCTTACATAGGTGTTAAGTGTAAGTGCCATTTGTTTTTGGGTGGGCATAGACGGTCGGTCTAGAGATATTATTATTGGTATGGGGCTCTGCGGGGGGAGCAATGAAGGAAAACTAGATCCTAGCCCCCATCTGTGGTCTTGTATTTGGGGGGCAATCACACCAGTAGAGGCTGAATTACGGTAAACGTCGCGTCCGTAAAAGTAAACTAGTTATTTAAATAATCGTATTTTGTAAATTGAGGAGTATTTTTGTTTCTTGTTTATTGTCATATTAGTTTCGTTTTTTTTTTCTTGTCAAAGTTTTTCCGCGCGTTACACAGTAAAAGACTGTCCATATCATCGGGTTCATGATTTCTGGCGAACTGATTTATAATTCGGGTTACGGTTATTCCATTAATTCTAATACTACAACCAAGAAAATAGGTGACAGCACACGCACATAGGATAAGATTGCGTTTCAAGGAAACGTGTTACGAAAAAATTGTACGAAAAACGATTGTACTTCGAATATTTTTTTCTCATTAAGTTTTGTTTTTTTGTTAGTCTGTGTTATATAACTACTTTTTTTCTGAGTCTAGTCTTGTTTTTCTTTTTTTTTTCTGAATTTGCTGAGTACAGTTTTTCCCAACACGGTTTCTTTGAGAACGAAATAGGTTAAGATAGTCTTAAGCAAACGGACTTATTTTTGTATTGTAATTTTTGTGTTACTGAAGGATTTTGTTTTCGTTTTTCTTGTATTAAGGATGTTAATGTATTTTTTTTTATCAGACCCGTGTATATGTAAGTTTATGTTTACTAGCTGCTACGTGTTTTGAGTTTGTAAACAAAGGGGGAATAGCTTACCAGGATTCTAGGAATATCTGACCGGAACCACAACGCCTAAAGGATGGCCAGCACGCAACCACAACTACAATCATCGTCTAGCAGCCAAGGCTTACACTTGAGCAAAGCCAACCAAGTTAAACTAGCCAACCCAAAGACGAGGACCAAAGGGCAAAACAGGACCCTACGAAAAACACCGGAACAACCCGGAAAAAACCAGGAGAGGGTAATAATTTCAACTTTGAATTTAAGAGCCGAGGCCGACTCTACTGTGACAGGGGGGCGTGTAACGACAATCGGTATTGTCGTCAAAAGGGTTGCATAACCACCAGTGCAATGACGCTCCCCCACCACGCCCAATAGGGATGCCAATATAAGGTCCAGTCTGGGGTTGAAAAATAGCATTAAGAATTGTATCATCCTCTGAAGAGGTCAGTGGGTCCAAGCGCCAGGCGCTGGACCCGCGTTGTGTATAGTGGTGTGTGTGTTGTGCCAGGAGAGGAGAACCCGTTCCAGCAAAGGTCAGATGTATTATTGTTTTAAAAGCTATTCCCTCCGTCCTCCGTTCCGTTATCGTTACTCCGTTGATACCGTTTTACGTTAGTAATTAATAAAGATTTATGAGTACGTTAGGTTTTAGGCAAAGGGCATGACAGTACGTAGGTATTGTCATGCCGTGACACCTGTAATAATTAGTAATAATTAAATAAGCTAAAAGTACATTCTGTTTCATTCGCGTAGTTAGTTGGCTTTTCCACAGGTAATTACAGGGTGTTTAAAGAAGTCGGGTTAAGGAGTTGGTGTAACCCTTTCGTTGGGGATGCAACGCTAGATGTAATAATGGAAGTCGTTGCATATCCCCTAAGAAAGGGGGGCATCAACCCATTTAATCCGTCACAATATTATAAGTGTTCAGCACGTGATACTAAAAGCTTTTGCACGCAAGCTATAATTATTGCAGTGCATCATACGCTGTTTAAACACATAAGTGAATTTGAACATGAAACCAACATGATTCTTTTATCATTTTTTTGCATTTAACATCATAATAGCTTCCAGAACTTTTGCACGAAAAGGATGTTATTGTTAATTAAGTCATTTATTATTAAACGCTATCTAGAGTTAGTAATGCAACTTCCAGAAGAAAGAACACGATTTTAATTTATACATCACAAACCTTATTCAGCTGATTATAAGGAAAAGGAACAATTAAAACAAATATTTTCTCTTCTGCTCTATTAAATTGGAAAATAAACTAGTGGGGTGTATGGTATCGTGCCTTAAGACAAATTGCTGGAACTTCCCGTACCGTAACGAAATGTTCGAGGAATACTGAATGTTTTCAAATAGACTCTTATAAATACTGTAATATTGTCGAATATTTATAAGAATTATATAAACTGAATTGCAAAGTTGAAATTATTTGTTTAAAGTATATTAGAACTATAGACAGAATTAAAAATAAAATCTGAATTATTTTCGATAAACAAAAAATTTTTTTTTTTGGAAAAAAAATTTTAAAAAAAAGTTGAAACAAAAAATGTTTTTTCCAAAATCAATTATATTGTTAAGACAAGCAAAAAGTTCTTTGAATCATTCAAATCGGACGCTTAGTTCTCTCAAGAAAGCCATTTTTTGCACATTTATCTCCTTATCTTCGAAATGGCTGGGCCTCCCTTTGCCAAAATCTAATAAACACTTCTCCCAATCATTACTAATTGAATGTTTTTTAGATCATTCAAATCGGATGCTCCGTTCTCTCAAAATCTCGATTTCTATTTTCTGCACTCTTTGCTCTTTATCTCCGTAACTGCTGAACCTGCCTTCGCCAAAAACTAATCAGCACATCTCCCTATCAATAGGAATCGAATGTTTTTTGAACAATTTAAATCGGTTGATCCGTGCGCCCGAAAACGTGACTGAAAAATTGTATCCACGCATACATACACACACATTCATTTTTTCTGAGGTATGCCAAAATGTTCAGAAACCTTCAAAACGTCGAGAAATGTAAAAATTTTCAATTTCGATTTTTGGACGATTACAATAACTTACCCTACGGGAAGTTAATTATTCATTTACTAGTTTATGAAAAGTTTATAAAAATTATATGATGCCATGCAGTTTCTTGACAGGAAAAGGATATGATCGTTAATTAAGGTGACCATATTTTTTCAAGTCAAAGCCGGAACGGTATCTTTTACGGGGGACGTATATTAAAATAACAAATACTATATGAGAATTCAATAAACACCCGTCTTTTTAAGTGAGTTTTTTTTTTAAATCAGAATTACTGACTAAGAACACTTCATTATTCGATAATATCATGTTTTACCTTATATTTTTGGATCTATATGTTATTTCAGCTTACACACTTATAAAATTTTGTTCAATTTTCTTCATAATTATTTTAAAATAATTACCACTTATTCCAGGCAGTCAAGAAATTCATATACGCATTTTTTGTTAATTTTCTTAAAATTGATAATAAATGTTTAAAATTATGAATGTGTGAGGCTATTTTAACCCGCCTTTTTCTTATAAGCGTACTAGTTGTACTGAACATTTTCAGATATTTGATGGATAGTTGTAATTTTATCAAGTAAGAGCTAAGATT